TGCTTGACAGCAGCGTTCAAATTCGATTCAGCGCCTTGCGGCGATTCAGTGCCTTGCGGCAATCCGAGTAGGGATCTCAGAGCGTGTTCAGCATCTGGTGTGCGAGACAAACTGCAGGCACAGGCGAGCAGTGCCGCAAGAAGCGTGGGGCCAGTCAGCAGGAGGAGGCAGGAGGGCAGCCAACGGCAGATGGGCATGGCAGCAGCCAGCAGGCAAGGCAGCAGGGTGAGCATGGGAGCAAGCATGATGGGCATGGCAGCAGCAGCAGCAGCAGCAGCAGCAGCAGCAGCAACACCACCACCACCAGGCAGCCCCAGCCTCAGCAGCGCCCAGCCCCAGCAGCGGCGACCCACCCGCTTGGTGCCCGCATGCGCGGTCCCCCCTCCCCGCCCGGCCAACCGGGAAGCGGGGGAGGGGGGGGCGCCATGCGGCGACCGCGCAGCGTTCCGGCTTTCGTTCATCAGGCCTGTGGCGCTGGCCGCTGCGGGGGCCGCGCCCCCGGGGTGCGGCCGTCCAGGTTGGCCACGGGTCGGCCGCGGGGCCTCGCCCGCCGTCGCCGGCGGGCGGGTCCCGGCGGCTTGACGACTCTCATTCGTTCGTTCAGGCAGGGGCCCGATCCCACACGCCACACGTCGGCAGCTGCCGGAGCAGGCCGCGCGGCGGGGCGGGGGGCTGGGGTGCCACGTCATACGGCCCTCGGCTGCCTGGTCTGGCCGGGAGGCGTCCGGCAGCTAGACCAGCAGGCTGGGGCGGGTTCAGCAGAGCCTGCGCAAGGTGGGTTGGCCCCTAACCCTGCCGGGTCGGGTGCAGCAGCCGCATCTGCGGCAGGAGCGGCAGCGCAGCGGTGCGGCGGGGCGCGGCAGCGAGGCGAGGTGAGGCAGCAGGCCACACAAAGCAGAGAGAGGCTGGCTGGCGGGGGCTGGCCAGCGCAGCAGGTGCACAGCAAGCGGGCGGCGCAGGCGCGAAAAACAAACAGGGGCTGTACCGGCGGCGGCGGCGCGCTCCTCACCTTGACGCAGCGGTGTGCATCAGCGAAGGGAGGGGCGCCGGGATGGCGGCGCAGGGGCGGCGCAGTAAGGAGAGCGCTTCGGTACAGGCCTCCGCCCCCTGCCCCATGCCTCGGCGGCCGCGCCCGCGATTCGACGTATCTGTAGTAAGCAGCATGCGGCGCCGGCAGGGCCTGGCGGCGCGCTGGGCGCGCGCCGCCGGTGTCCTGCTCGGCAGCCGCTGTGCAGTCGTTTGGGTGCCGGTGGCGGTCGCCCCGCACCAACAGGGGCATCGCCCCCATCCAAGCCACTTTGGACGACCGGCTCTACCGGAGGGCCTGCCCTCGGGAACCGCCACTGGTGGGTGGACGCGGAGAGGGTTGGTGTCGGGGCCGGCCGGGGCCCAGGCCAGCACGCAGCGCCGCGTGCCACCGCGCCGCCGCCCAGCAGCCCCGCGCCGCTGCCGCCCAGGCCCGCCCCAGGTAGGCGGCGGCATCGCAGCGGGCGGGCGCGCACTGGTCAAGCACTCTGGCGCGCCTGCCACCCCAGGCGCGTCGACCCGTTACGGGCCGCGGACCCCAGGGCCGCCTGGTGCTGTTACAGCCCGGGTGGCTGCCTGGCCCGGGCGGCCCCATTCTGGGGAGCCCGGTCGGGAGGCGAGGCTGCCGAACTGCCGGCAGCGAGGTAGAGGCACGGGCCCCGCCGGCGAGCGCGCTGCCATGCCGCCTGCGCGGCGCCCATTCTGGGGCCGGGGAGCGAACATGGCGGCGCTCACGCCTGGGCGTGCGCCGGCGGGGGTGCTGCGTGGCCAGGCCGCCCTGCCGGGCGGCCGTCAAGGGCCCTGCTTGGTGGGGCCTGCAGGCGGCAGGCGGCAGGGCGGAGGGCAGGGGCAGGGGGGCTGCTCAGCAGCAGCAGAAGCAGAGCAGGGTCTGTGGCAGGGTGTGCAGGCGGGCGCAGCCTGGCAGGCAGGCAGCTCCCTCATGCCCAAAGCGGCCACGCGTGGCCAGCAGCAGCAGCACCTGCGCCACTCATGGCAGCAGCGGCAGCCGCAGCAGGGGAGAGCAGCAGCAGTGGCGGCAGCAGCAGTAGGAGCAGCAGCGGCGCGGCGGCGCACTCACGCCTGCAAGCCCACACCAGCAGCCGTCCAGCCGCCGCCGAGCCGGTTTGATTCGGGTGCAATCGACAAGTTCGAGGGCGGGAGCGCGCGCGGTGCGTCCGGTTCCTCAGCCACTGCGGGGCCACTGCCCGGCAGCCATGCCATGCCATGTGCAGGCAGTGCATCAGGGGCGCGCGAGCTCACTCGCTGCCATCCTGGCCCAGCGCGCGCGGTGCGGCGCGGCCCTCCAATCTCAATCTCAGTCCCAGCCACCGCGCATCGACGGGGCGGATCCTCCCGTGCATTCGACGGGGCAACGCGGCACATCTGGCCGGCACACCTCCCGTGCATTCGACGGGGCAACGCGGCACATCCGGCCGGCACACCTCCCGTGCATTCGACGGGGCAACGCGGCACATCTGGCCGGCACAGCACACTCGTGCAATCTCTGCCTCCCGGGCAGCAGCTGCTTCAGCAGCCAATCACCGGTTCCTAACCGGGGCGCACCCACGGGGGCGGCCCAGGGCTCAGGGCACATCAGCGCGCGATCACCTAGCTATCACGCACGCCTGCAGGGAAGCGGGGGAGGGGCAGGGGCAGTCAGGGGCAGGGGAGGGAGGCGCAGCCAGCCGCAACAAGGGGCAGGCAAGAGCGGCAGCCTGCCGCATACGCTGGCCACACAGCGTGGCGGAAGAGCACAGGATCGGGCCTCCACAGCACCAGCGCAAGCGTGCCTGCCAAGGCACCCCCGCACCAGAGCCTCACCTTAGCCCCCGCGGCGCGTGACTCCCTGCGCTGACAGGCTGCGGCAAGGGCGCGCAGCGGGTGTGCGGCAGACGGGCCTGGCGGCCCCAGGCGACGGCTAGCGGCTCCCCGAACAACGAACAGATACCAATCAAGAGCTCAGATCGGCCTTTGGTGGCATCACTGGCGGGCGCCGCCGGCGCGGCGGGAGCCGCGGGCGGCCCATGCAGTTGCGGCGCTCCCGAGGCCGTGCAGCGGTGCATGTGCAGCATGCGTGCAGGCGTGCGTGGCGTGCATGCAGCCGTGTAGGTGTGCGTGCAGCCGTGCAGGCACGGCGTGCAATGCAGGGGGGGCCCGCCACCATTGGCAGCAGCACGGGGCCGCCACCGCCCAGCTCAGATATCCATTCCTCGAGTGGATCGCGTCATTGCGGCGGGGGTCGTGCAAGGCGTCTTGGGCGCCGCAGGGGCGGCCCGACACCTGCAGCCGCCGCTCGGCTTTGGCTATCCATCGTCACCTGCGGCCAGGCAGCCGGGGCGGGCCACAGCGCCAGAGCATTCATGGTCTGGTTGCAGCACGGCCCAGCAGCAGCTGGGTAGATGTGCACAGGGCAAACTGCGCCAGTGGCCAGCGCTACGTTACTGGCTAGGCGCTTTCCAGAAGAGCAGCAGAGGCAGCAGCAGCGGTGGCGGCGGCCCAATGGCATGCCAGCAAACGCGTCGGCGGGGGAGGGCACTCGTGCCAAGCACAATGCTGCAGCTCACCGCGGGCGTGGCAGCCCCTGCAGCCGCCGCCTTCGGCCAGCGCCGTCCATGATGCGAGCCCAGGAGCATCTCAGCCGCCTCCGCCCCCTCCAGTGGCCCAGTGCGATAAGATTGAAAACTACTCGTAGTTCAGCGCTTGGGACGAAGTCATCAGCAGGCGTGAGCCCTCAGAAGTCCGGATTCTCTTCAAGCGGGGCCACGGTGGGGTTTGGTGTGCGAGAGGCGTGATAGAGAGCAGAGGGCAGGCGGCAGGTTGCGCACAGCCGGGCGACAAGGCAGCCGGGCAGCCCAGGGCTGGCCTCTTCAAGTCCCGCCCTGCCAGGGTGCGGCGCCAGCAGGGCCGATGCCCCTCCCTCCTGGGCTACTCCTTTCTGTTTCTGCCTCGTGGGGGCTGGGGCGGGCGGGCGATCCGGCCCCGCGTGGGCAGCAGCAGCAGCAGAGCCGGTTCTGCGGCACCCGCCGCTCGCCCGCACTCGAAAGGCGGCCAGCTCCGCCACAGGGTGGCAAGGTGGGGTGGGGGTGGGTGGGGTGGGTGCCGACGACCGACAGGTGGTGCAATAATTACACGGAACAGTTACTGGGATGGGTCACTTGATCCAAGCATTGGGGATGGAAGCGGTCACGGGTCCAGCGCTGGTCAGCATGGGCACGCCGCGATACACGCACACGCCGTCTGCACGGCACAGAGCGAGATGGCGGCGGAGGTGGCAGCAGGGCCCAGCGGCAGCAGCAGAACCGAGGCCCCGAGAGGCGCTGAGATGAGCCAACCACAGCTGGCCCTGCCATGCCTGCCAGGCTGCCCCACACCGCACAGCACAGCACCGCCGCCTGCTGCCGCCGCCAGCCTCACTTGCATCCACCCGAAGGTCTGGCGCAATCTTCTCAAACTGCTTCTTCTTGGGGTTGAGCTGCGCCTCGGGCTCCTTGGTGTACCTGCAGTACAGCAAGCAGTACAGAAGGCGGTACAGCAGGCTGTACAGCAGGGGGTCAGCCTGCGCCAGCGAGGCGCGAGGATGCGAGATGGCAGCCGGAGGGCACAGCTGCCACCGCGCCACTCCCTGCTCCGCCCCCTGGCATCCCACACCGCCGGCAGCACCATACTCCTCGCTCCCCCGGCTGCAGCCTCACCCCTCGAAGCGTATGCGCTCCCCCACCGGCACCCCCTCTGGCGGGTCAATGGGCTCCACCTGGTCGTGTGTGTCGTTGGAGGCGCACAGCACCTGCAGGGGGCAGGAGGCGCAGGGGGCGCAGGGGCCCGGGCTGGTGAGCAGCAGGCCGGGGGCTGGGAGCAGGGGACTGCGGCGGCGGGGCAGCGGGACACGCCGGCGCGGCACAGCCCCAGCAACACACAGCCACGGCAACACACGCCCACAGCGGCGCTGCAGCAGGGGCGCAGGCGCAGGGGCGCAGGCGCAGCAGGCGCGCAGGGGTGCAGGCGCAGCAGGGGCGCACCATGCCGTGCGACATGACGTCCCGCATCTTGGCGGGCTTGAGGTTGCACACCACCGCCACGCGCCGCCCCCGCATGCGCTCCTCCGGCACAAACTTGACCAGGCCGCTGACCACCTGGCGCGGCGCTTCCTCCCCCAAGTCAATCTCCTCAAGGTAGAGCGAGTCGGCGTTGGGGTGGCGCCCCACCTGCGGCGGCGGGGAGCAGAGCAGAGGGAGCGTGTGTCGGGGTGCGGCGGTGAAAGAAGGGCCAGCAGCGATTTAGGGTGGGTGTTGGCGGGTGTGGGCAGAGGAGCGGCGCGTGGCGCTGCTTTGCGTGCCGGCGGCCGCCGCCCCGCATATGGCTGCTCCAGGTAGTATAGGCAGTACCGCCGTGCCAGGCAGTACAGTACCGCCGGCGCGCCCACCTTGACAATCTGCCCCACCCGGATGTCCAGCAGGTCGACGGTGCAGCCGTCGGCGGCGCCCCCCGCCGCCGCGCTCGCCTCCGCTGACGCCGCGGGGGTGGCCGGCGCCGCCGCCTTCTCCTTCTTCGCCTGCGGCGCAGCGGGAGCAGGCGCAGCGGGCGGCGGCGCTCGGCGGGCGGCTGCAGCAGGCCGGCAGGCAGCGGTGGGGCAGCCGCAGAGCGCCCGGAGCCACCTGCAAGGCAAGGCACAGCCAGGGGCGGTCCAGGCAGGCGCAGGCGCGCACCTTCTTCTTGTCTGCCTTGCCGCCCGCGTCTGCTGCCGCGGCCGCCGGCGCCTCTGGCGCCGCCTGCTTGCCGCCGGCCTTTGCATCGCCGCCGCTGCTGCTCGGCACGGGCTCCGCGGCCGCCTTGCCTGCCGCCTTGCCTGCCGCCTTGTCGCCGCCCTTGTCACCGCCCTTGGCTGCCTTGGGCTCGGGCGGCGGAGGCGGCGGCGGCGCCACGTACCGAGGCCGCTCAAAGCTGGCCGCGGGGAAGAGGCGCTGGGCGTCAGCGGTGTGATGCAGCAGGTCGTAGAACCGCAGCAGGTTGCAGAAGTGGCCGTGCTGCGCCACGGGGAAGGCCACGGCGGCGGGGGACACGGCCGCGTACAGCACCAGGTCTGCCAGCGAGGGGCGGGCGCCGCCGGCGATGTAGGTGCGGCCGGCCAGCGCCGCGTTCAGCTCCGCCAGCGGCGCGTCCATCAGCGGGCGCAGCGCGGTGTTGCGGAAGCTGATCCACTCGGCGATCTGCGGGCGGGGCAGGCAGCATGAGGGGCAGAGGCAGCATGAGCAGCAGCAGCAGCAGGGTGGGGGTGCAACAGGCGCCAGTGCTGCCGCCGCTGCCTGTCGACCTGAGCTGCCGGCCTGGCCCTGGCGCATTGCGGGCGCTGCCCAGCTACCTTGGCCTGCTGCTCAGTGTTCTCTCCCAGTAGCTCGGCCGCTCTGGGGCTCTGGCTGGCGATGTAGCGGCATGCGGTGTTGGCTCCTGATGCCTTGGTGCCATCGGCTGCTACAAACTCCACATCAGCCAGGCTGCCGTCCACCTTGATGTCTAGCTGCTGCCCCAGCCCGCCGCAAGTGGCAACCAGGCGCAGAAGTTGCGCCGTGGCGTCATCCGGGACTGCAAACGAGCTCATGACTGTCCGGCAATGCAGAATAAAAGCTAAGAATGCAATGGGGCATTGTATCCTTGCTGTTTCACCTCCTGCAGGACACCTGACCAGAAGTACACTTGGCCTGGCGCTCAGGGCTCGCAGGGGGGCCTTCCTGGGCCTCTTCTTTGCTAATTCTGTTGTTGCCGAGGACCACCACTCGTCTAGCTTCAGGGTTCGTCGCAAGCGACAAAGATGGCGTCGCAAAAGGTGTGCAGGCTCTATGTGGGAGCCCCCGGGCGTGCATTCCCGGCTGGGCTGGTCGATCTCGCAGGAGGCGGGGCTGCAGGCGATGGCAGGCTCGCCTCTCTGCCTTCTGCCGCTGCCGCCGCCGCCACTGCCGCTTTCACCCGCACGCGTCTCAAGTCGCCCGCTTCCCATGCACTTGTCCGGCTGCTGCAGTCCACCTCCCCGGAGATGCAGAATTTCCTGGTGCAGCAGCAGGCCAAGGCGCAGCTACAGCAGACAATATCGCGGCTGACGGATGAGTGCTGGGCCAAGTGCATCGGAAACCCAGGCACGTGCGGGCTGCTGGGCAGCCACTCTCCCAGTCAAAGCAGCCGCTGTGCCTGACGGATTCCTTTGCGCATAGCTTGGGCTGACCCCCTCCGCATTCCCTGTGCCTGCTCGAGTGCACCGAGGGGGCGATGGCAGGCACCTGACGCTGGTGGCGGCCGCCGCAGCAGAGACGAGAGAAAGCTCCTGGTGTGCCCCGCTGCCGGCTGCCGCAGGCAACTACATGTCGTCCAAGGAGCAGGCCTGCATGGACAACTGCGCCCGCCGCTTCCTAGAGTCCACGCAGTTTGTTGTGAGCGGAGGGCGAGTGGACAGGCGGGGCAGGGGAGTACTGTTGGGCAAGGCGTCCTTTTGGTATCCTTGCCAGCAACACCCCAGCTTCTGCTAGTATCCCGCTGACCCGGCTCCATTTCCGCCAACCTGATCTGCAGGTCAAGTACTTCCAGGCCAAGGCCAATGCCAACCAGCACAGCGACTTCTGATGTGGGCTGGCTCGACGGCGCTGCCGTGTGCTTCGAGGGCCCCTGTCCTCCACCACTATTTTTTCTCGTGACAGCTACAACCTCTTGAGTTGCCATGTTGAGCGCTTGGAGCTCCCCCCACCCCTGCCTGTAGCACAGCCGTGCGCGTGGAGGGTGTGTGTAACAGCGGGCCAATCCTTGTCGCTCCATAAGGGTGGGCCACAAAATGTGGGAGCAAGGAAAGTAGCAGCCTGTGGGCAAAAGATGCAGCAAGGAAGACAATGCTGGAAGAAGCAGGGTTCACAGAGAGCGCAGAGCACAAAAGAAAGCATGCAGCAGGCACGAAGAGGTGGCACGCAGAAGAGCGGCCGCAGGGGGGCGGGCAGCCCGGCTGCCCAAGACGCCACCGCCGCACCCGGCCCAGAGGCCCCCAGCCTCCCTCGAATCACTTGTTGCTCTTTGCTGCCTTGCCGCCACTGTTCTTTCCGCCGTAGCTCTGCAGGAGGCGGGGAACAGAACGCGCACGGTGGCTGCTGGCTGCTGCTGACACCAGTTGGCGCAACTGGCAGCCGGCCCACTGCATGTGCACGTGCTCGCAGTGCGTCACCCAAAAGCCGACACCCGCAGGCGCCCTCCCACCTTCTTGCCGAAGCTGAAGGGCACGTAGCGGTACTTGACCATGTGCATGATCTGCCGCTTCATGGTGACAAAGAAGAGGATGAACCTGCGGCACGGCATGGGGGGGGACCAAGCAGGGTGACGGGAGGGAGGCAAGCCGGCGCGGGAGTAGGGTGGGTCAGAGGGGATGCTGGTTTGCTGTGCCAAGCTGGGATTGTCATGCCGGTTCAGGCCTGGGCGGGGCTCACCAGTAGAGCACCAGGATGGGCCAGAAGACGGGGACATCAAACATGGGAAAGAAGGTGGCCACAAACCCAAACATCACCGCTTTCATGCTGCTCCACCTGCAAGCGCGCAGACGACCGCCCAGCACCCGGCACGCCGGTGGCAGAATCGGTCAGCCCCCTTGCAGCTCAGGCACGTTGCAACAAGGCACCGTGGCAGGACAGCAGCGCAGTACTGCGAAATGCAGGCGGCGCGGGCTGGCTGGGGTGGAGCAGGGGAGGGCCGGCGGCGCACCAGAACTTGAACTCCGGCAGGCGGCGCACAAAGGGCCGGAACTCTTCGTCCGACTTGCTGGGCAGCGTGGGCCCCTCCAGCTCGGGGTTCACCTGAGGACTGCACAGCGAGCGAGCATGCAGGGGCAGTGCATTGGCAGCCTGCTGCCCTTGCGCCGCCTCCGCTCCCAACCTTGTAGCAACCAATGACAAGTGAGTGGCGACCGGCGTCGGCCAATCACAAGCCAAGGATAACTCTAAGCAGCCTCTGCGACGAGGGTGGCTGCTGCCGGCCGCGGCTGCCATGCAACAGAGCCGTGCGCGCGGCGGCGCACCTGAGGAAGCCGAGCAGCAGATTAAGCATGTAGATGGCTAGCGCGTATGTGACAATGTAGAACCTGCAGGGGCGTGAGGCACAGGAGCTTGCACATGAGGCGCAGATCCCCATGCCTTCCCGGGAGCTTACACCCTGGCCCTGCAGAGCGGAACCGCTAAGCGCCCTCCCGCAAGCAGCCACCCCACCCCTATCCGCACTGCTCGCTTACCCTTGGAGGAAGAAGACCCGGACCGCATAGATGAGCACCACCCCCGCCAGGCCCAGCCATCGGTACAGTATGTGCGGCGTGCTCTTGTCTAGGAGCACCTGCTTAACACCAGGGTCACAAGGCAGGCATCAGGTGCCTGCCAACATGCACGCACGCTGCTGCTACCAAGCGATCCAGCAGCAGGCAAGTTCAAGCGGACAGGGTCGCGCGACTGGGAGCGGCGGCAGCGCGTGCCTGGAGGCGGCGCTGGAAGGGCTGCAGCGGATTGGGCGGCGGGCCGCCATTCCCTGCTGCTGCGGTGACCCCGTTCATCGCAATTCCTTGTGGACCGGTGTCTTTGCTGCTCCTCCCTGCTGCTGTTCACTTCCAAGTCGGCCCAGCGGCCCTGCTGTTCACTGTGGCAGCTCCAAGGGATGGTGACAGGCAATCTGGAGGCCCTAACAGACAGTCACGCGGGGGAGAGGGAAGGTGGGCCCACGAAAATCAACCTGGGCCTGGCTGGGCCTGCAGAGAAGGCGATGACTTGGCGGTGCGGATGCAGCACAGATCCGGGTAGCCACAAGGGCCCGGGCGGGCGAGGACGGCAGCCTCCCCAAGCAGCCCGTGGTACACTCAGGCAGTACCGAGCCGGATGGCCTGGAAAACAGCAATGCACGCATGTGCATGTGTTTCTTTCGCCAGCTGCCGCCCACTGAACATCCTGGACACGTTGTCGGCACGCTTGGCCGGCCGGGAACCGCACACTCCCTCTTTTTCGGCACACAAAGGGCAGCACGGCGCCAGCACAGCCTTTCACTGATAATGCAGGCTGCTACGATAAGCAGGAGCTGGCTGGCGAGGTGCGCAGTTCGGCATTAGCTTGTGTTGCGCTCCCTGCACTCTGCCTGCGCGCTCTAGCAGCCCATCCGGACAGTGCAAAAACAATGCCGCTTGGTGCCGCCGTTTCTGCAGGCCCGCCGCCGCCTGGCGGCCGTCCGCCGCGCCTCGCCGCCGCTGCTGCCGCCACCTCCGCCCACGCTGTGCTGCTGCTGCCGTGGACGAGGCAGCCTCTGAGTTCTCCCGCTTGGTATCGACGGGCGGCAAGCTCACCAAGACTGCGGTCAGCAAGCTGGCAGTGGCAGACCTGCGGGCAGAGTGCGAGCGCCTGCAGCTGCCCAGCGATGGGCTCAAGCCCGCTCTTGTGGAGCGCCTGATGGACTGGTGGCAGCAGCAGCAGCAGCAGGAGAGTAGTGTGGGCCAGCCTGTGACCAGCACTGAGAATGGTAGCCAAGGAGCGGCAGTGGCAGCAGCATCTTCGGTGGAGCAGGCTGCGCAGGCTTCCGCCGCTGCTGCGCCGATGCCAGCTGTCGCAGCGGACACAGCGGCCCCTGCTGCAGCCCCAGCCAGCAGCAACGGAAATGCCAGCGCAAGCAGGAGCAGCAGCAGCAGCGACGGCGTCGCCAGGCCGGCGCAGGCGCGCCAGGGCGCGGGCGTGGTGTCGGCCACCTGGCTGGGCACCAGCAGCGGCAACCCCACGCCTCGGCGCAACGTCAGCTCCATCGCAGGCAAGCAGGGGCTGCAGGCGCAGGCAGCAGGCCTGGCTGGGGAGCTGGGAGCTGCGCCGCGGCTGCGGCTGTGCCATCGCCGTGCTGGGCTGGCCTCGCCCCGCCCCGCTTCGCCCCGCCCATGCCCTCTGCCTCCGCAGCCGGCACCTCAGCTGACCCGTTGCTCCTCCCCTTCCCTCACGCTGCAGTGCGCTTTGACGAGGACATTTACCTGGTGGACTGCGGGGAGGGCACGCGCAACCAGGTGGGACGCCAGCTGGCACAGCACGCGCAGCAGGCGCGGGGGGGGGCAGAAGGGCGCGGCTGTACAGGCATGGGCATGCCACCACTGGCTTGGTGGCAGGGCACGGCACGGGGCTGCCGCCGGCTGGCCGGCCGGCTGACGGACGTGCTTGCCGTGCATGCCGCGCCTGCTGTGCCTGCTGCGCCTGCAGCTGCGGCGTGGCGGCTTTGACCCCGCCGCCATCCGCCGTGTCTTTGTCACCCACATGCACGGCGACCACTGCTTCGGCGTGGGTGGCGTGATCAAAGCGGTGTGCGAGGCGCGGCTGGGGGGCCCGATGCAGCACGAGCCGCTGCTGATCTACGGCCCGCCCGAGCTGCAGTCACAAGTGCTGGCCACGGTCAGGTGGGTGTGGCCGCCTGGTCTTGGCCCTCCGGCGTGGCCGCTGCCATGTTGCTCAGCATTCGGGCGTCCGCGCCCACCCCGGCATCATGCCCCACACGCCCCAGCCTGCCAGCCTCCTCGCCCAACCGCCCCTGCGCCGCCTCACCCGCCCGTCCCTGTGCCACCCCACCGTGTGCCGCAGGATGGGCGCCATCCAGCTCACCACGCCCGTGGTGGTGACGGGGTGGGTCCTCGACCCGGGGCGCGCGCGGACGCCGGTCGCCGCCGACGCGTCGGGCATGCTGCGCATGGCTCTGCAGGGGCCTGACCAGGGCGACCGCCTGCCCGGCGCCGCGGTCCAGGCGCTGCAGGCGGCGTACGACCAGGGCAGCGAGCGGGTGGTGCGCCACGGGCTGAGCTGGACGGTGAAGGCACCGGGCGGGACCACGGTGTCGGCGGCCCAGCTGCAGCACCGCGTCCCCTGCTGGGGCTACGTCTTCTCCGAGGCGCCGCAGGCGGTGGCGCCGCCGCCCTCTGCCGCCGCGGGCGGCGCGGGGCAACCGGGCGAGGCGTGGGTGCGGCGCGGCCGCAAGCTGGTCATCCTGGGCGACACATGTGATAGCAGCGCCATTGCGCCGCTGGCGCTGGGCGCCGACCTGCTGTCCCACGAGGCCACCTTCTGCTCAGGTGGGCTGGCCGGGGGCGCAGGTGGTGTGGTAGAGCTCGGGTGTGGATGGTGGGTAGGCAGGAGGTGGGGTAAGTTGAGGTGCAGGCAGGAGGCCAGCCGGCCTGGGGCGGGTCGGCGTGGGCCTGTCGAGCAGAGCCCCTGCCGGCGTCGCCAGGTGCGCCCACGCTCGCACCCGCGCGCGCGTCGCCGCGCCCCGCCTGCAGGCATGGAGGACAAGGCATCCATCGCGCAGCACTCGACCACGGAGCAGGCGGGGGCGTTTGCGGCGGTGGTGGAGGCTCGGAACCTGGTGCTCACCCACTTCTCCGCCAGGTGGGGCCTCGCTGGGCTGTGACGGCTGGGGCCTGGGGGCTGGGGCCTGGGGGCTGGGGCTGGACCTGCAAAGCCGCCGTCGGAGCCGCCGCCGCGCCTCGCGACCGGCCGTCCCAACCCCGGCAAGAGCGCACCCCCGCTCCCGCCGCCGCCGCCGCGCACGCAACCACGCAACCACGCCCCGTGCTCCCCGCGCGCCGCCCCGCGGCGCAGGTACGAGTCTGTGTCTGCGCTGGCGCACCACATGCGCCGCTCCTCCGCCGTGCCGCGCGGCACCCTCAAGGCGGAGGTCGTGTCCCGGGACCTGCAGCGCGGCGAGATGATGCGGCTGCTGGACGAGACGCACAGCACCTACGGCAGGGGTGAGGCGGGGCTGGGGGCGAGGTGTGAGTGTGAGTGGGTGAGTACCCACTCAGTGGGTGGGTGGGGTGTGCGGGAGTGGGGCGGGCGGGGGCGGTGGGCGGGCGGGGGCGACGGGCTGTTGCGCGGAAGGCTGTGGCGTGGGGCAGCGCAAGGCAAGGGCAGGGGCGGCCAGCTGAGCTGCTGCTGCGCTCTTCCCTGAAGCGGGCAGCCTGGCCCTTGTCCCCGCGCTGCCAGGGGCACCTGCACCCCTGGTGTGCCCCCTCCCCACCCACCCACCCACCCACCCACTCACCACCACCCATGCCTGGCCCAACACCCCCTGCAGACAGCCTGTACCTGGCCAACGACTTTTACACGTTTGAGGTCGAGCCGCCCGCCCCCGTGCCCGCCGCCCAGCTGCAGCAGCAGCAGGCGGAGCAGGCGGCACGGGCGGCCCAGGTGCAGCGCCAGGCGGCGGAGACGGCGCAGGCGATGGCGGGGCGGCGCCTGGGCCGGGACTGGCAGGGGGAGCAGCAGTGGCAGGCGCGGGGGCCGGGTGGCAGGCCCCAGCAGCAGCAGCGGCAGCGGCGGCCCGGGGGCAGGGGAGGGCAGGGGCAGTACCAGCAGCGGCGCCCCAGGCCAACATAGCTCACTCTATAGACGTATAGCCTGCCACCCCCCTTCCTGTCTGCCCATCTGCGCAAGCAAGTGTAATAGCTGCTTGCCTGCGTGTGTTCTGGGGGCGTTGCATGGGGCCGGGCTGCAACGGACGCGGGGGCACGCCTGCCGCGCTATGCGGGGCGATTCACCCAACGCCGCAACAAGCTTGGTCCAAACAGAGAAGCAGAGAGCGGTATCGGGAAACAGGGGTGCAGAGTCAGGGCAGAATGGCCACCAACGGGCGAAGAGGTCAGCAGCAAGAAAGGACGGAGTCAGCAGTTGTTGGCAGGATACGGTTCAGAAGAAAGCAAACAGGAAAAGTGCAGCGCGTGTGCAATTGCCTGAAACCATTCCGATCCCTGAGAGGAAGAGAAGGAGGACAAAATCGGTTCTGGGTGGCAGAGTGGCAATGAATTGGGTGGTGCTGCCTAAAGCGGCGGCAGCTGCTTGCCGCATCTCGCCGCATGATGCCTTCTGCTTCACGCACCCACTGCCTGCCCGCAATAAGCGGCTGGCATGGGCTTGAAAGCATGCGTCGCAGGCGGCTGCGGCGGCTGTATGCTGCAGCTAGGCTGCAGCCGATCCAGGTGGGCTGCCAGCGGCGCTCAGCTCGAGTCGCAAGGGAAGCTGGCTGCCAGGGTGGTCATCTGCGGGCAGGAGAAGGGCAGAGGGCGGGGTGAGGGTGCATAGCAGGCAGGCAGGCAAGCATCAGCCAGCGCGGCACAGCAAGCACAGCGGCTGCCTTTGCGCACGTTTGCGCCGCGGCCGCCCGCTTGCATCCATGCCACATATTGTGCATAGGTGACCGCCCATGTGGAGGGCTGCGCCAAGGCCCAGCCCAGGAAGGCTGTGACCGCCTTCCGATGCGTGCTGCACGGGGCAGCAGGTGGTGGGGTCCCACAGTTATAGCGTCAGTTTGGCCCCCCAACTTAAAGATTCAACTACGAAGCAGCCAGCCAGCCACAGGCCCAGCAGGCATGCAGCCGGCAGGGGCTGCGGCGCCACACCTGTTGCGCATGTAGGGTGCATGCACCAGGACGGCCACGGGGATGCCGGTACCGCGCTTGCGCTCAAAATCGGCCTGGTAGCGCTGCAGTACAAGTGCAGGAACAGGTGGCGGGGCGGCAACACGCAGGAGTCGATTAACCGCGCCAGAGGGCGGCAGGGCGGGCGGCCCGTGGGCTGAAGGGCCAGAGGGACAGCAGCGTGCATTTCTGCAGCACCCCAGCCTTGCCTGCCGTGGCACGCCAGGTGGGCGGCAAGGCAGCTCAGGGAATCCTGGGACAGCCTCCTGAGCTGCCTTGCCGCCCAGCGGCCCAGCTGGCAGCCCAGCTGCCCTGTTTCCCCCGCCTACCTGCATGATCGACATGCCATCCACTGGCTCCGGGTCTGACCGGTGGTCCCCGTGGCCGCGGGGCATGTAGGCTGGCACCTCCCAGAAGGGCAGCCCCGCCCAGCCGTCGCAGGAGGAGCGGGAGTGGACGCAGTTCGGGTGGAAGCTGCCGTTGAGGCGGCCCGCTCGCAGCACCGCCCCGGTGCCAAACAGATCCTCTCCCTTCAAGCTGGAATCGTACCTGCGGCAGCCAACGCGGCACGTGCGGTGCATGATGAGCGGCAAGAGCGGTGAGGCACGGCTGCAGGGTGGGTGGAATGAAGGAAGAATGCGGCGCAGGCACGCAGGTGCGGCTTGCTCACAGGAAGCCCAGGTCTGAGATGACCCTCCCCAGCAGGTTGTTGGTCGCAAAGTAGGGGGCCCGAAACCCCACCACCGCTCTGCAGCAAGAGGCAAGAGGGAGGCGCCGGGCGGCGCGGGCAGGCAGGCAGGTTGGTCGGCTGGCTGCCAAACGCCGGCGAGCATGAAGCGGCGCCTGGTGGCAGGGGGAATGGGGCGGGAGGCACACGCGCGGCGGCCGCTCGGCGCTACTCACTCCCGCGGGATGCCGCACTCGTCCACCACCCACTTGCGCTGCCCATCCACCTCCGCCACCCATTCCTCGTAGTCATAGGCCACGGAGCTGGGCGCACAAGAGGGAGGGAGGCGGGGCAGCGGCAAGCGGCGGCAGGATTGGCCCGACAGTGGACACACACCACCCGTTCACCACCTCTGGCGCCGGTCAAGCTCCTGTTGAGGGGCAGGGCTCCGGGGCAGGCGCCTCATAACCGCACCGCTCACGCTGGCCAGCACAGCAGCGGCCTTCCTGCATGCACGGCGCTGGCCGCGGCCAGGCGGCTGCGCACTCACTCTCGAGAGTGTGTCATGGTGTGCGTGGACACCTCATGGCCGTGCTTGTGGGCTATCTGCACGGCCCCGCAGGTGCTAGACGGCTTGCCATGGGCGCTGCAGGGCGCAGGGGAGCGGGCAGAGCACGCGGCGTGAGCATGCTCCCCCGCGAGCCGTCGAGCGCAAGGGACGGCTGGTGGCAGCTTCTGGATCGGCGCTTCGACCCACCAGCAGTTGGTGAACCAGGTCATGGGCGGGCGGCAGCCGTTTGGGTTGCGGGCGCCCGAGGGCAGGATGGTTTGGTCGTAAGCAACCTCCCAGGTGTCCTCAGTCAGCGCATCGTCCTGGGAAAAGCTGCAGCAGGGGCAGGGCAAGCAATGCAGCGAGGCTAAATCAGGCGGCGCAACACATTGGCAGCATCCAGCAGCAGAGCATGCGGCATCAGGAACGGCAGCTAGGCATGTTTGGTCGCCGTGCAGCCAGCGCAGTGACCCCCGCCGCCCTCCGCCAGCAGCGGCGGCGGCAGGCTCACAGGATGAAGTTCGGGGGCGGCTCCGCCTTCACCAAGAACAACCCAACTACGGCCGTGACCAAAAATCCAGCCAGAGCCGTCGCAATGAGGACTAGGAGAGCCCACTTGGGCGGTCGCCATGTCGGTCCCACATGCTGGTCGGCGCTGTATTTGACGGCCTTGCTGTCATCACGTATCAGAGCAGTGTCCTCATCTGCAGCAGCGGCCTCCGTCATTTAGGCTGGGGGCTCAGAGCCCCAGGAGGGCTAGGCAGGCTTGTGGGGCTAGCGGCCTTTTGTGGCGGCCGCAAGTTGCCCCACAATTGATTTGTGGGCCCACACAACCGAGGAGGAACGCTTGGCAACCCACAAGATGGTGATTTCTCCCCCAGGGGGAGGGGAAATTGCGATTGGGGTGAGGGGGGAGCGGGTGGGGGGGGAGGCAAGCAGCCGCCCATGCGTCCCTTGCCCCCCGCCGCACTCACCTGGCCGCCGCTGCGCTCAATGTTGTCCCGCAAGCGTTGTAACGCGGGCTTGACCTCCTGCATGCTGGTGGTCTGCACGCCGATCTGCTGGGAGTCGGGGCGGCAGGGGTGGGCAACATGGGACGGCGGTGGGGGTTTGGGGGCAGCAAGGGGCAAGCGACCAGCAGGCACCGATGAGAGCGGCGGAGGGAGCAGGGGAAGGTAATGAGAGGTAGTGGGCTGAATGGCAGGCGGCCAGCAAGAGCGGCAGCGCCGACATGCAGCGCCGGCAGAGTTGTTGCACGCACCGAGAGCATGACCTCGCCCACCGAGTTGAGCATGTTGAAGATGGCCTCGTACGGCTTGCTCCCGTTGCTGGTGATCTTCTTGGCGGTTGCAAAGGTGTGGTCGCAGCTCACAGCGCGGTGGGGGCCCGCGTCGATGCCCGCCAGCACGGCCCGCTTCAGTTGCCGCCGCTCCTCCATGTGGACATCCAGCATCGTGCGCACGTAGGTTGCGCTCAGGAACTGCATGTGGGCAGGCAGGGAGAGGAGGGCAGGGGTAATGCGCTGTGGGAGAGGAGGGGGCTCTCTGAGAGACGAGGGGTGCCCACGAGTCCGTGGGAGGGCAAGCCGGTCGCGGCGGTGGCGCGCCGCTCCCTCGACAGCTGGGTGGTGCCGCGCACGCTGGCAGGCCGAGCCCCGCGCCGGCCAGGTCGACTCCGCCCGCTCCCTGCTTTCTCACCGGCAGCGGCCAGTCGTGCTTGGCGGCCGCTTCCACATCTGCAGGCAGCACACGATGCTGGCCGCCAATGCGGCTCATGCCGTAGAAGTCCAGCAGCACCTGCACGCGCCAGGCCTCCATCCTCGTGCGCACGCGCTGTATGGCGGCCTGCGGGGGGTGGGGACGAGACGCGATGGATGGGCAGGCGACGGGCTAAACGACATGCGATCAGGGCCCCTCGCCCCAATCCATCGGCCCCACCCACCCCAGCACCGCAGCGGTGCCATGAACACACCTCAATAGAGAGGCCAGACTCGTAGTCCAGGATGAGCTGGGCCAGCAGGTCCTTGTGCAGGGCACCCTTCTTGGAGAAGACGGCGGGCACCGCGTCGGCAATGAAGCCCAGGTCAACGATGCGCAGCGCGGCGTACAGCTCCTCACTCGTAGTGCTGTATTGGCCTACAAGCAAGGAAGTGTGCACTCTCACAGTCAGCTGTGCACACTCACAATCAGCAGCAGCCAGCCGCCGGGGCGCCGCAAACGCGTGCTCGGCCACCGCATGGCCGCCGCTCCCTCGACTCACGGCTGCAAGGCTCGCACTTCAGCTTGAAAGGCAGAACATAGGCGGCGCCTCCAGGCATCGCCAGCTTGCGGATGTTGGGCAGCTGCGGCCCCTTGGAGATGAGAGTGAACTTCAGGCAGTTGGGACAGGGCAGCTTGGCGTGCTGCGGCAGCGGCCCGCCCTGCGCCGCCGCCGCCGCCGCCCGGAGCGGGCCAGCAAAGTGCTGCTGCAGGTTGAGCGCCACGAAGTTGCTCCGGTGCATCAGCACGTCGCCCAGCGTCACTGCCCGGCCGTGGGCAGCCGCAAAAGCAGTCGCCTCTGGCCCTTCAAAGTTGAGGCGCGGCTGGGGCGCGGTTGCAGCAGCCTTATGCTTGCCGCCCAGCCCCAGGACGTGCTTGAAGACGCACTGGACGGCGCGCAGCTCAGCTTCCTTGCACCCCAAAGGGTCCCCATCCGCGCCGCCGCTGCTGTCTCCCGGAGGGGCCGCGCGGCCCCTCCCAGCGCTCATGAGTGATGTTCAGGTGCTGGTGGTGCGGCGGCGAAGCAGGGGAACTGGAAATGAGGGAGAGAAACAGGTTGGGGAAATCGCAATTTCCCCTCCCCCTGGGGGAGAAATCACCATCTAGGTGGACACAGGATCTGTCAGTAGAAACTACATGTGCGATGGTTGCGCTGCTTGGCGGGCTGTGGGAGCGTTTTGAGCTCAAATGAACACCCCAGGTCGGCGCCTGCACACCCCAGGTCGGCCCCCCACGGCGGCGGCGCGGGCGGCCCTGCCGCCAGCTGCGCCCTGGCTGTGGCGCACCAGGCAACCCAACAGTGACACAACGTTAAAACAAGAGAGATCGTAAAGATGAGATGCATAAAACTGTACAGATAGCAATCGAGTACATTGAGCTGTCCACTGTTGCGGTGTAAAGGCTGGTATGGCGGGCCTCGTCTCATGGCGGAGGCTTGCGACTGGTCAACAAATAGAAGAATCGGTGGGGGAGGAATCGGCCCCCACTGAAGGAGGAAACATGCATGTTTTGTGCAGGGTGCACGGCTCCGGGGCACGGTGAGTCACAACTAGTGCTAGTTCGGGATCGTAGAAGTGGAGGGGGCACTGGCTTGGGCTGCGTAGGTGTCGATAGCTGCAGTGCCTTGGTCACAGGTATATTCTGACAGCAGACTGGCCATCTGCAGCAGGCGGCACGGGCATAGCGATCGGGTGAGCAGCGGCAGCAGGCATCGCTTTGTAACTGCAGCACCAGAGCAGCTGGCGCAAGCGCATGGCAGGTGCCACTCACGTCTGGCGGGGAGCCGGCCTCCCGCTAGGCAATGAACTGGCGGTACGTGAGGAACCAGGTGTTGGGCTGCTCAGCCGCCCATGCAAGAAAGTCGGCGATATCTTGCTTCTCATTGCTGCAGCAGGGAAGCAAGGAGGTGGCAGGGTGGGTGGGAGCTGGGGCTGCCGGCGAGTACTGTCAGCCAGCCAAGCCAGCTAAATGCAGGTTGGCCTGCCAGCGCCAGGCGCGCAGCAAGCCGCCATTCTGCAGCTTGCTCTTAGAGGGTCTTACGGGTCTTCCAGGAAGGGGCCATGCACGATGATGGAGACAGGGATGCCGGTGCCCTGCTTGCGATCAAAGTCGGCCTGGAACCTCTGCGGGCGGGCGGGCGGGCAGCATGGCAGGCAGAGCCACCCAAGTGTTGCATAGCGTATACAAGTGATCGCCCAGGTGGCAGAAACCCCTCACCACCTGCAGGCTATGCCTGCCTGCTCCTGCATACATCCCACCGCACGCTGGATGAGAACACCCCAGCACCGCTGCGCCCCACCCCGCTCCCACCTCGAGCGTCGACATGCCGTCCACGGGCTCCGGGTCAGACCGGCCGCCTCCTGGGGGCGCATACGCCGGCACCTCCCTGCGGCAGCGCAGACGTGCAGTTGGCAGAAGCAAGCAAGGGGGAAGCAGGGGCAAGCGGTGGGGAGCTGCTGTTTTAGGTGCAGCGCAGCCCAGCAGTCTTCGACAGGATCTGGCCGGCTCCACCCGCACCCACCAGAAAGAGAAGCCGGACCAGTTGCAGGTGGAGTCTTCCGAGCCGTGGCAGTCTGGGGAGGTGGAGCCGAGGCGGCCCGCCGCAAGAAGGTCCCCGCTCTCGCCCTCGCCCCTCAGGCTGGAATCATACCTGCTCACAGCATCCCCAGGGTGGGCAGCAGCAGCAGCGGCATCGGCAGTGACATTGGCAGCGGCAGCGGCAGCGGCAGCGGGTCAGCCTGAGGGACCATGCTAAGGGCAAGTTCAAGGTGGCCCTCGCCTGGCCAGGCTACTCACATGAAGCCCAGATCCTGCAGAACCTGGCCCAGCACGTCGGTAGTTTTGAAGAAAGGGGCGCGAAAGCCGACCACTTCGCTGCAGGCGGGCGGGCGGGCAGGCAGGCAGGCAGGTGATGCATGTGACAAGCAAGAACTGGCAGGCAGGCAGGCAGGCAGGCAGGCAGGCAGGCAGGCAGGCGCATGTGCCCATGGCGGCCCTCACTCTGCAGGAATTCCACACTCGTTCACAGTCCAGTCGCGCTGCCCGCCCACATCATCCGACCACTGGCTCTGGTCATAGGTCAAGGTGCTGCACGGGACAGCAGGGAGCAAGGGTGTGACCGGGCGCTGCATGGTGCTGTCGAAGATCAGTGAGTACAGGTGCCGCCGCACTCACTCGTGAGAGTGGCTCATGGTGTGTGTGGCGATCTCGTGCCCCAGCGCATGAGCCCGCTGCACCGAGGGGCAGTCGCTGGAGGTGCCTCCATGCGCGCAGCAGTTGATGAACCTGCGGGGCACGCAAGGTGGCACGTGGTTGGGAGGTGGGCAGCGGGCAGGGCAGTAACACACAGGCTACACTGCCAGAAGAGCATCGCATGGAGATGCCTGGGCCCCGCAGGGAGCACAGCCTGTGCGGCTGGAGGGTGCGCACGGCAGGAGGCGGCGGCCCTGGGGGGTGCCCACTGACCAGGTGATTGGCGGGCGGCAGCCAGCGGGGCTCTGGGCGCCAGACGCCAGCACGACGTCGTCGTATGCCAGACCCCAGGTGCCATCCAGGAGGCTGTCATCCACGCTGAACCTGCATAGCCCAGGAGGATATCACGTGGTGAACAGCGGCCCCAGCACCGCCTTGCACCGGCATGGCGGCACCGGCTTGCCCCAGTGCAGCCAGCGGCACAGCTGCGGTACTCACATCACAATGTTGGGCACCTCTGATTCGTCCTGCAGAACCCGACTGCCGGCGACCAAGGGTGTTGCCGCTGCCACGAGCAGAAGTCCCCATGCCGCCACCCTGAGCGCCATGGGCACTGGAGGCTGCACAGCCGGCAATTGATGCGTTGCAAGCGCTTCAAGTGATCTCCAAGCTGCCCCAAGCCCCGAGGAGCGAGCGCCCCCACCCTTGCTTGTGGTGCACGCAGCCCCTAGCGCGCCCCCAATCGTCCTTCAGCCTCTGAGAGATTGGTGGGACAGTTGCGCTCAAGAAATGGACAATATTCCCTCCTCGTCCCGATCGGTCTTGCCCCTTGCCCAAGGGTGCCAGGACACCTGGCAGCGGACAGATCTGCAGCATCTCCCCTGCAGTGGTTGATCCCTCTGTCAAAGGCCGAGCCCCAAGTCACACCACAAGCAAGTGCAATGGGGCCAAGTTGCCTCGTCGCTGATGGCCAGCGCCGCCCATTCTCAATCAACGCCTGGCGCCGGCGCCCGGTCCTGAGCCGCTCTTCACCGTGAGATGCAGGCGCCATCCAGGACAGCAGCACCGCAAGCACCTGTCAATGTGACATTGTTCCAGGCGTGCGTTACATTTAGCGATGAATCTGTGCAAGCAGTATCATACGTGGACGCCGAGCACAGATGTGCGCACACAGCACTCACTGTATGCAACGAGACGGGAGAAGCAGCAAGGGACCAATACAACAAACAGGAAACTCGCTGCAGCTGCAGCAAGTTCGAAGCTAGGCAGAGGCCAGCAGAAAGAGGTGCTCAATCTAGCACCGCCATCCGCCAAATAGAAATCTCAGAACCTTCAGGCCCCAGCCCGCAATTCCGGGCGGGGGCCTGTCGGCGAGCGAAGAAGGAGAATCGTCACGTTGGGGAAAGAGAGTCACAAAATGAGTGTGGGGGGGGTTTCCTGAGGGACAGGTATGGGTGTGGACGAGCAGCGTGCTATCCTGTGCTGCCTGTGCATGCACCAAACTGCATCTAGTAGCGTTCCAGCGGCTGCCGAGGTATGACGCTATGCTGCCCAACTGCGGCTGCGCCGCATACCGCTAACGAGAGTTAGGTTGACAGGCAGTCCTAGCTGTCATCACAGGGGTAGTCTGCCAGAACCTCCGTCGGCTGCACAGCAGGGTCAGGGTCAGGCGACATGGGCCAAGTTAGGGCGCAACATGCAGCACGCCGCAGCCGTGTGGGAAAGCACACCAGCGCATTGTGCTGGGAGGTGGTGAGCAGGTGAGGGCCCCAGTGCTGCAGCTGCTGCTGCTTTGAAAGCAGCAAACAAAAAGCACCACCCGGCAATGGCCAACTGCCTGCTGCTGCTGCTGCTGCTGCTGCTCACATCGTCAGGGGAGCCCGCCTTCTTCCAGGCAATGTCTGCAGGGAGCGGAACAACACGAGTGCGGTGTTGGCTCAGTGCCAGCTGGGCAGAAGCGCACATCAGGTCCCCAGCTTCCTTCTTCGCCAGGCTGCCCTTCCTCCCGGTACAGCCCGACCTGCTAACGCTCCTTCCACACAATTTCGGCGCGCTCGTGGCATGCCTGCACATGCACAGCCAACTCACACTGCTGGTAGGTAACGCCCCAGGTGTTGGGGTTGGAGAAGGCGTACTGGAAGAAGGCGATGATCTGGTTCATCTGGTCGCTGCAGCGCATCGAGAGATGACGGGGAACCAGGCGGCAGTGTACGGTGAGAGCCATGCAGCAGTGCTGTGCAAGGCTGCCCTGGGCTTGTCCGGCCCTCCAGAGCACGACATGCCCTGCAGCAGCCAGCAGCAGCCGGCAGTAGCCGCTCACTCGTCACGCAGGTAGGGGCCGTGCACGTTGATGCCCACAGGGACGCCGGTGCCCTTCTTGCGGTCAAAGTCGGCCGTCAGGCGCTGCAGCGGCAGGGTTTAGGATGAGGTGCCGCAGCCGCACTTTCAGCGGAGATCCGACGGAGGCTGCAGCGCTGCCGCACGCGGGGCCGGCCGCGGCGCGGCGTGCGCATCCCTCCCCGCAGAGGCGACCCTGCACGGGGGTCCACCCCCAGCCCCGGCCTGCCTCGGGTGCACCCCCCCAGCCCTGGCCTTCAGGCGCGCCCGCCCGGCCCACCTGCACGATGGAGAAGCCGGGCAGGTCTTCGGGGTCGGAGCGGCGGGAGCCGTTGCCGGGGGGCGTGTAGGCGGGGACCTCCCAGAAGTCCAGCCCCACCCAGCCGTCGCAGCGGTTTGCGGTGGTATCCTCGTGGCAGTCGGGCACGTAGGGCACCAGGCCGGAGGAGTTGTCGGCACTGAGGGGGCCCGCCTGCATGGGTGTGCCATCCCCCTCCTTGTACTCGCCCTTGAGGCTGGAGTCGTACCTGCCCGGGTGGAAAGAACAGCGAGGGAAGGCGCGTTGGCGGCAGCGGGGAGCAGAGCACACTGCCTGACCAACGTGTGCCGCCCACACACGCCCACACGCGCCGGTCCGCAGCGCCCGCGGCAGGCGCGCTGCCGTCGTGCCAGCCAGCCAGCCAGCCAGCCCCTGCCAGCCCCTGCCAGGCAGCGCCCCCCTGCTCACTCGACCCAGCCAAGGTCCTCCAGCACTTGGCCCAGCAGCTCGTTGACCTGGTAATAGGGAGCCCTGAAGCCGGTCACCACGCTGCGGGGAGAGGGGCGGGCGCAGGAGCAGAGCACACGTCGTTCAGGGCGAGCGTGTGCAAGTGGGATGGTGCCTGATGGCGGCTAGGCCTGGGCGCCTGTGTGGCGCGCCGGGCCCAGGGTGTGGGCACCTAGGACTGCAATTGGTGCCCGCTCAGGGCAGCCAGCCCCGCACTCACTCCTCCGGGATGCCGCACTCGTCCACCGTCCAGTCGCGCTGCCCCTGGATCTCCGCCACCCACTCGTCGTAAGTGTAGTTCAGGGTACTGCAACACACAGGCAGGCAATTGCAGTAGGTGGCGGGGGCAACAAGCAAATGGTCAGGGCAGACAGTCAAGCAGGCTGGCTGGCCGCCACCTGCGGCACGACAATGGGCTGCCCTGCATTGAGCCATGCGGCCCATTGCTCCTAGCAAGGTCCCGACTCGCCAGGGCGACTGCCGCTGCTTAGGCTGCCACTGGCTGGGTGTGCTTTCGGCTGCTGTATCCGCAACTCACTCGTTACTGTGCGTCATGGTGTGCGTGGCGATCTCGTGGCCCGCCTCGTGCGCCTTCTGCACCCACTCGCACTTGCTGGACACCTTGCCCTGGGCGCAGCAGTTGATGAACCTGCGGGCGGAGCGCGGCGGGGCGGGGCTTCATTGCATGCATGCGGGCTTGATGCATGATGTGCCAGCTTGATGAATGATGCATGCATTGAATAAAACCCACACACACACGTATGCAGCCTGTCACGAGGCGCAGCCCAGTGACGGCGGTGATTGCGGTGGCGGCGGCGCCGGGCGCCTGGGCGCCACGCTCCCTCACCAGGTCATGGCCGGCAGGCAGCCATTGGGGTTCTTCACTCCGGAGCCCTTGATGATGGAGTCGTGCGCCGTGGTGAACATCTCCTCCAGCAGCCGATCGTCGTGGGCAAAGCTGCAAGGCACGGTGTGGAGGGCGGCGGCGCGTACCGCACTCTTTGACAGGGTGGGGGCGCCGGCGGCAGCGGCCAGCGGGGCCGCAACAGAGCCCCCTGGCCAGCGCGGTGATGCAGCAGCGACCCATGTGCGCAGTGGCGCCGGGTGGCACCGCGCCGGGCGGCCGACGGCAGGCAACAAGGAATAATGGAGGCGGGCAGGCGGCGGCAGGCAGCGGCGGCGGCGTTGGGTGGGGGTCGGTTGCGCTCACAGGATGAAGTTCGGCTTCGAGTCATTGGCCTGCAGGAGACGGCGACCCTGCGCCCCTGCTGCCAGAAGCAGCAGGAGCGGGAGCAGGAGGTATCGTCCTTGGCATGCCATGGCCACGCGGTGTTGGAGCAAGCCCCCAAGCAGGCTCGCAGAAGGTACACCGCAGAAACGCTGTGTGCAGGTCTACTATTGATCACTGGGTTGAGGGCACCAGCGGCTGCAGGCGGTCGGACTGGGCCGAATGGACTGATGCAGGGAGCTAGGGCAAGTGTGAGCGGCAGCGATGCAGGAGTGCTGTAATCGCCTAGGGATACAGCACAGAATGTGAATTGGGCGGCAGAGGGCCGATGGCCGAGGCAGAATGGCACCCAGACCATTGGTCAGCGGTCTTTCCACCCGGCCAGCCGCCGCCCTATTGCCCCTCTGCATTTGGGTCGTTGACATCCGCCAAGCCTACTGCGACATCGTGTGCACTTAAAATCGGCGCCGCAAGGGGATGGCAGTCAGACGATCCAGCATGCCCTGCCCAGCTTTGGGTGCGGGGTGGGCTGGTGGCTGGTCCACCCACCCCGCTGTACCGTCTCGCACCGCGGCGGCCAGAACTGCTATTATCGCCCTTACAATGTGCTGCGTGGCTGCAAGTGAATGGTACATGGCGTTAAAGGCGGGATTCGGAGGCTCCATGCATGCATTAGGGTGATACAACGGGTCTTGGGGAGGGCGGCAAAGCGCCTCGCGCAAAATTGAAGTGCAGGTGGCGATGTGTGGCAGAAGGCGGGGTTGCGGGCAAAAGCAGGACACATGAGCAGTGACAACTTTCGGTGCTGGCATCGCAGGGATGCGCAGGCTAGGCAGGCAGGCCAGGACGGCACCGTGCCTGCAAGGGAAGCCTGGCTGGATCATGGCCAAGACTGGAGCGGGTCGTACCGCTCCTCTGGGATGCTGGCCAGCAGGCTGCCTCGCCGCCGCGCCTTCACGCCCTGCCAAAACAGCGCCGCCGCCGCCGCCCCCGCCCCAGCAACAGCCAGCCCGGTGGCAATCCTGCGAATAGGTGGGACCGCAAGGCAGGCGGCAGGGCATTGCTGGATCCTGCTCTGGTGCCAGCTGCGGGGGCGGCGCGCTCCTGCGCATGTGCAGCAGCAGAGGGCTGCGAGGCGCATGGCCGACGCAGCAGCCCCACCTGACAAACCCCATCTCCCCGCCGCCGCTGTTGCGGGCGTTCCAGGGAGGGAAATAGGATTTGCACTGAGGCGGCACCTACACGCGGCAGCGGCCGCCACGTCAGCCACCACATCAACGCAGCCGGCAGATCCAGGCCACAGCCAGCAGGGGCGTGCCGCAGCGGTGTGAGCGACGTCAGGCATGCCAGCGGCGCGGCGCCACGCACCGGAGCGCCCACGGGCAGGCTGATCCTGGCGCCGCAGGTGGACTTGAACGACCGGCGCACCGCCAGCGGGCACGGCTTGACCTGCAGGCAGGCGGGGGCGGCTCGGTAGCCAGCCCGCGCAGCAAGCGCCACCCGCCACTGCTGCCACTGCTGGTGCTGAACCGTGCTGTGCCAAGGCCCTGCCTGCCTGCCTGCCTGCCTGCCAGCATCACCAACGGTCACAGATAGACAGGCGCCGCCCCGGCAGGCCCAGCCCCACCTTGAGGTCCAGCCCCACGCAGAGCCACAGCTCCAGCAGCTGGCCCTTGAAGCAGGAGACCATGGGCCGCACGCCAAACGCGTCCTCCACCGCCCGCGACAGCCGCGCCGAGGTGTAGGTCTGGGCGCTGGAGGGCTCGATGCCCGCCTCCGACAGCGCCACCTGCGGGCCAGGCGGGCAGGCGGGGAGGGCAGGCCGCGGCGGGCGGGCTGGGTTGGGCGCGCGCTGCCGGCGGCGCTGCCTCCACCCCGGGCACTTTGGGATGGGGGTGGATCCCACGCATGCCCCAAGCGCTTGCTGGGCCAGCTTCATAACCCCCTGCCAGCCCGCTGCAGCAACACCATGTGTGTGTGGGGGTGGGGGGGTGGGGGGGGGGCTCACATCCAGATCATACTTCTCATGCAGGCGCATGACGGCCTGGAAGAAAGAGGGGCGGTCGCCGGTGATGGGGCGGGCGCAGGTGCCGTGCCGCTGCCACTCGTGGTCCCAGAACCCGGCGTCTGCACGGCGGCACATGCACGCAGGGCACACTCAGCCACAGGTGGTGCCGCGGAGGGTGTGGGGGTGTGCGAGGCGCCACGCCCAGCGCCCACCTGCTCCTGCCCCAGCCTACCTGACCCCTTGAAGCTGGGCCACTCGCACTTTTGCTGCTCCGAGTCATCCTCGTCTGGATCCGGCTCCGGCTCGGGCTCTGGGTCTGGATCTGCGCTGTCTGCTTCCGTTCCAACCGCCCCGCCGCTTGTAGTGGCGTTGGCGGCGTCACAGAACTCTGGCCAGAGGCCGTTGTTATACTCTGGCCACAGGCCGTGGATGGTGAAGGCACTCCTGCAAGGCGGTCAGGCATGCAGCAGGCCGTGAGGGACAGCAGGACGGGCAGTGGTAGGGGCAGGAGCGGCCCAGCGGGCGGGCGCCTTGCATGGCGTGCCGGCCAAGGCACCAGCAGTGGCCCCAGCGCCGCGTCGCGGCCGCTTACACAGGATTGATGGTGCATGGCGTCTCCTGGCAGAAGGTGGGGCTGTATGAGCGCACGAGCACAAACAGGTCGAATCCTGGAGACGGGCTGGCTGTGCAGAAAGCCAACTGGATGCCACCCAGCGCCAGCAGCGCCAGGGGGAGGGCGCGGATCGCCATGGCAACTGCAGAGGCGGCAACTGGCCGGCAGTAGGAACCCTGCGCGGAGCCTGCTACGCTCGCATTTCGACGCCATCGCTCATGGAGGCGCTCGGTAGCTGGCGTTGATAAGAACCACTGTGGAGCATGGCTGCCGCTGTCTGTCTTCCGCAGCTCCCGCCGGCGGCATGTCGGCCCAGGACCTTGAAAGTGCTGGGTAGGCCTCCACGTTGCGTACAATCTGCAGCAGCGGTGCATCCGGCGCAGCTACAGCTAGGGCCCGACATACCGGTGGCGCTGCGGCGGTGGACCGTCGCCGACCGCCGGTTCCTGCTGGTGGTGCCCGACATCGATGCAGGTAGTCTAGTATGCAGCATTGTAACATTTGCAATTCAACAACTGCAAGAATGAGCGCAAGCGAGTGCCATCCACAAGCTTGCGTGCCGTGCCTCTCTTTTGTCAGGTCCGCTGCCTGCTGGCACCTAGCCGGCTGTCTCTGTTCCTGCACCTCCACCCTGTGCAGTCATGGAGATGTACCTAGCAGCAGGCCACTGGGATAGAGATCCGTACTGGTGAGCCGCACCTGCCGCGCCGCCGCTCATTTCAGTCCCGTGCCGAGCACCAGGCCAGGCCCAAGCCGACGCCTCTCTCAGCGCTGCTGCTAAGCTGGCCTGCCACGCTCCTGGTGCAGGTGCGAGCCCTGGCCCAGCGCTTTGGCCATGGCAGAAGAGCTGCTGCAGCGGCCAGACCTGGTGGCGGGCAAGCGCGTCTGCGAGCTGGGATGCGGCCTGGGGCTGGCGGGGCTGGCGGCCGCCGTGGCAGGTGCGCTCCACGGCACCACCTCATGCCCAGTGACCGCTGCTTTGGAGGAGGTGCCATGCCAGCATGCAGCACCGGCACTTACTGCTTGTTCTGGGTGAATCCTGTGCAGGCGCCGCGGAGGTTGTGCTGCTAGACCGAGAGCCGCTGGCACTGCAGTGCGCACTGCTGAATGCCGCGCTCAACGGCCTGCCCACCACAACCGCGTCGCCGCCAGCAGCCGCAGCAGGCTCGGCAGCCGCGGCGCCAGGAGCGACCGCTGGCAGCATGGGCAGCGGCGCCAGCAGCGGGGTGCAGGCTCTGAGCTTGCAGCAGCTGCTGCCGCACCTGCAGGCGGCGGATGCAGAGCAGGTGGTCGAGCAGCAGCGGCTTCTAGAGGAGCAGCGTCAGGCGCAGGCGGAGGCTGCCTCTGCGTCTGGAGGGCGCAACGGCGGCAGCGCTGGCGGCAGCAGTCGTGGCGTGGTGCGGGCCGAGGTGTTTGATTGGAGCCAGCCCGTGGCCATCAGCCCGCACCACGTCATGCTCGTCTGCGACTGCTTGTACGAAGCCTTCTCGGTTCAGGTATGCACAGCAGCTGCTGCTGCTGGCGCGGCCTCATTGTAGTGCGCCCATGCTCCGTGGCTTAGCAGCGGCGCCTTCTGCTCACGTGCCCGTTGCCTGCGCCTGGCCGGCCTGGCCATCTGAGCACAGCCGAGCGCTGCAGCATGCCTGCCCTCCCTGGTCCTGCAGCCCGTGGCCGCGGTGGCGCCCAAGCTGCTGACACGGGACGGCAGCCGGCTGCTGCTGGCAGACCCGCCGGACCGCGCCCGCCACAACCGCGAGTGCTTCCTGGACCTGCTGTGCGAGGAGGGCGGGGAGTTTATGGTGGAGGAGAGCGGGGAGAAGGGGGTGCAGGTGTACGAGGCCAGCAAGGGGGAGTCCAGGCGCGTGCCCGTGGCGATGATGCACCTGCGGCGGGCCGCCGGCGGCGACACCGTGGGCCCCAAGCTGGGGCGCAGCGGCCGGCAGGCGGCGGCGGGAGGAGGCTGAGGCGCACACACCGTCACATGTCACGGGCCGGTTGCTTCCAGTATTACACTTTTGTATAAACACACGTAAACATCGCCCAGGCGTGCATGGTTGTGAGGGGACTGAGAGCGGGGCAAAACAGTTCTGCTGCTATACATCTGCTGTGCCAGTAGCCGCGACCGCCGCTAATGCGCATACTTCGCCAGGTTCTGGTAAGCCTTGACCAGGCGCTGGAAGGCCTCCTTGGCCTGCGCCTGCTTGCACTTGTCGGGGTGCAGAGCCACCGCCATCTCCCTGCACACACCGCGGCAGGGGCGTTGAACAACGCACATGCATTAGCCTGGGCTGGGCTGGGCTGGAACAAGAGCTGGTGAAGCAGCCCGCAAGCAGCGCCCCGTGAGCCAGCAGAGGGTGGAAGGCGCCCGCACGAGCCCATGCACCGGCTGCCACGCGCCCCGCGAGCCGCACCTGTACCGCTTGCGTATTGCCGCCGCCGCTGCCCCGGGCGCCAGCTGCAGCAGGCTGTAGTCGTCCCGCGCGTCCAGCACCCGCCGCACCTCTGCCTGATCTGCCGCCAGCGCCGAGGGGCCCGCGGCGGCGGCCGCCTCTGCCGCCTCCTTCTGCACCGCGGCCAGCGCGGCCGCAAAGCCGGCTTCCAGCTTGGCCCGCCGCGCCTCCTTCTGCCGCGCCTGCTTCACCACCTCCGCCGCCGCCTTGGCCTGGGCGGCCGCGGCGCTGGCAGCCTGCTGGCGCAGCCGCGCCTCCTGAGCCTGGATGGCCTGCCGCAGCCGCTCCACCTCCGCCGCAGCAGACGCGGTCTCGGCGGGGTTGGGCGCCCCGCCTGCTGCTGCGCCGGCTCCCGCCTTGCCCACTGCTGCTGCTGCTGCCTGGCCGCCCGCCGCTCGCGTCGCATGCGCATGCTTCTGACCACCCAGATGGGCCTGCTTACCTCGCTCCTGCCGATATGGTGCGCTGCCCTGCAAACCTGGCTGCTGCTGCTGCTGCTGCTGCTGCTGAGGGGCGGCAGGGGCGGCACCTGCCTGTGGCTGCGGCACGTCCGGCGCCTGCTGTTGCTGCTTCGCAGCCGCCGCCGCCGGCTGCTGCTGGGCTGCTACTGCCTGCTGCTGCCCTGCGGGTGCGGCTGCCGCATCCCGCTTCCACACCATCTTCTTGGCCTTCTTAGACGGCGGTGGCAGCACCACAGGGGCACCCGACACGATGGTGCGCCCGTGCGGGGCGCCGCTGCCGGCGGCGGCGCCGCCGCCCTCGGCGGCGGGGCGCTTGTGGCTGTCGCGCACCCAGGCCAGGGCACCCATGTCCCTCTGCACCACTAACGGTGGGCCGGCCGGCAGCAAAGGAGGGAGCAGGCTGGGACTTGGCTGGCGTTCTGCCAACGACCAGCGCGGCTGCAGACGGTGTACTCAGTCTAATGCACTTCTTCTTTTTTCAATCCTCGGAGCCCTCCGGGCCCCATTTGGTGTATTGCCTGGGCGGCAGGACACTCCGCCCCAGCCAGATAACCCGCCTGCCATTGCGGCAGCACACTGCAGCGCTCGGACTTGGCACATTGTCCCCACCTGCAGATTCCACAGCCCCGGGCTGCATCCGTCCTCGCCCAGCCTCACTCCCTCTGCTCTCACCCAATCAGCGGCCATGGCGGTGCGGCGCAGGCGGCCCGCCTCCAAGGCGAGCCACGCCCCCACATCCCGCGTGCACACGGTGGAGACGCTGGAGCAGTTCCAGACCATGCTGGCCAAGGCGGCGGCGTCCAAGAAGGTTGTTTGCCTCCAGTTCTTCCAGGTGCGGTGCGGGCTCGGCCCGGGAAAGCAGCCTGCCCCGCTGCACACTCCCAGCACCTCAATTCACCTCCGCTTGACCGTGGGTCGTCCGCTGCCCCGACGCACCGCTTGCCTGGCCGCCCGCCCCGCGCCTTCACGCGGTCGCTCCCAAGCCCACGCCATCAGCCTCCCCTGCTGCTGCCCCTGCCCTCTCCTGCTCCCTCCAAGCACAGGCCCAGAACTACACCTGCGCCCAGATGAGGGCCTACTACCGCCGCATGTCTGTTGATCCCGCCCTCAAGGCGGCTGTGTTTGCAGAGGTGGAGGTGGACAGCGCAGAGGTGGGCAGGGGGCGGGGCAGGGTTGGCTGGCCGCCGAGGGGGCGGGCAGCAGGGGTCTGCCACGGATTGCGATGCAAGTAGGGCCTGCGGCTGCCGGGCAGGGAGGCGAGGCGGGGCGGGGCAGCAGGAGGAGCAAACAAATTCGGCGGGCGAGCTGGCGTCGAGGCTGCCACACAAAGGCTGTCGCACCTCGTCCCCGCGGGGGCCTGACGTGTTGGGTGTGTGCCTGCCCTGCCCGTGCGCCCGCCCTGCCCGTCTGCAGGAGGAGCTGCTTGCTGAGTGCGGGCTGCTGGCGGGGCGCGGCAAGATCCCGTGCTACCGCTGCTACGTGGCGGGGGAGGAGGTGGAGGTGGGGCCGCCGCAGCTGCACCAGAGGCCGCTGCCGGCCCAGCCGCATCCCTGCTGCTGGATCCTGCTGCGGCGCTGCTCCTCCTGCTGCTGTCTGAGCGCCCCTCCACCCCTTCGGTATTCGCTGCTCCCCGCTCAACTGTCTGGACTCGCTGCTCCCCGCCCCACCCATCTCCTGCAGAGCTATGCGGGGGGCACGCCCACTGAGGTGGCAAAGATGGTGGCCCGCCAGCTGGCGCAGCTCAAGGGCAGCGGCGGCGGGCTGCTCGCCAAGCTGCTGCTGGCTGCGGGCGCGGCGGCGGCGGCGGCGGCGGCGGCCTACTGGCACCTTGGCAGGCGGCAGGGGGGCGGCGGCGGCGGCGGCGATGCGGGAGGCCTGGCCGCAGAGATGAGGAGCTTGTCTGAACGCATTGGCATCGCGCAGCAGCGCCTCAGGTGCGGCGTGTGTGTCTTGTGTGTGGGTAGGTAGGCGTAGTTGTGGGCTGTGTGGGCTGTGTGTGTGGGCAGGCTTGTAGGTACTGGGGCCGACGTCCCGCCTGCACCGCTCCCGCCTCCGCCAACTCAACGCCGCATGCCGGCATGCTCAACAAGCACGCACCGCCTCCGGCCCCGCTCCCGCTCCCGCCCGCAGCAACGCGGAGCGCGCGGGGCGGCTCAAGGCGGCCAAGAATCAGCGCCGCCTGCTGCAGCAGCTGCGCGCCCGCCAGCGCTCCCTGGAGCAGCAGCTGCACCAGCGGCAGCACCCAGGCGGCGGCGGCGCCGGCGCCGGCGGCGCGGGGCGCGCCGCGGCCGAGGCGGCGAGCGACGCTGAGGAGGAGGCGGCGGAGCGGCGGGAGGAGCGGCAGCAGCGGAGGCGCCGGCGGGCCGCGTCGCCCTCAGACTATTCATCGGACGAGGAGTGGGCGGCAGCGCTGGCACGGCCCGCTGTGCTGTACTCGGATGAAGAGTGAGGGAGGAAAGCGTGGGGTGGGGCGCAGCAGGTGGGATGGTAGGATGGTACCAGCTGTGTGCCTGCCCCCGCGTGTGCTCGCCCCCCCGCAACGGTGCGCTGATGATCCCGCCATCCCTCTCCGCGCCCGAGCTGCACACCGCCCTAGACCCTCTGCATTCTCTCTTCCCCTCTGCTTGCCGCGGCCGCCCGTTTTTATCCCCACGCCCCAGGCACTCGTCTCATGCATGCATGCTCCTCACGCTCTGCCTCCGCCTGCTTTCATCGCATCTGTCGTCTGCTTGCTGGTGCAGCAGCCATGCAGCCGCGGGCTGGTTCCTGTCGCCAACCCTGCTCTGCCTGCCTGTCCCATCCCTGCTTCTGCTTGCTGTAAGTTAATGAAGTGCCGCTGGCGGGGAGAAGGCAGCGCCATGGCAGCAGGGGAAGAAGTTCTGGGGGAGAGCGGAATAGAAAGAGGCAGTTCTTGGGCAATGCTGATGGAAAGAAACGGTTGTCGCAGGCACACACACACTCGCCAGCGACGGCCCACGGGGAGGCAGGCGCTACTGGCGGCGGTCCAGGCACTTGACTGCCAGCCCGTATCGGGCCTCGGGGCTGGTGGTGGTGGCGTCTGCCCGCAGTCCGTCGTTGAAGGCGGTACACACCCTGCCCCCTAGCGCCGCCACAGAGATGTGTTGATGATCGTACAAGGCATCGGCGGTGACCAGGTTGGGAGGGGTGGGGCCCAGGGGCTCCCAGCCGCCGCCCGCGGCAGCAGGCGACATGACCAGGATGGGGCTGCCTGCAGCCCAGGGCGTCTCCTCCACCGCCACCACGGGCGTCTCGCTGCCCGACGCCACCGCCAGCGCCACCGGCAGCCCGTACCGGCCGTTCGCGGGCGGCTGGCTGCTGAGGCCTCCCGGCAGCTGGTCCCCCGCCAGGTACGGGCGGCCCAGGGCGGCCCAGGCGCCGCCGCCGAAGCGCAGCACGGCGGCCGCCGGGGTGGACTGGTCGGCGGTAAAGGAATCTATGCGGTACGCTGCCAGCAGGGCGCCCGAGGGGGTCAGGGCCAGGCTGGGGGAGGAGCAGGGCCAGCCGGAGATGCCCGGCGTGCGGCCCACCAGCGCCCAGGCGCCCGCCCCCGCGTCCAGCCGCTTGACGGTGAGCAGCCAGGCGGAAGCTGGGTCGGCGAAGGCCACGTAGACGGTACCGTTGCGGGCTGCCGCCAGGCTGGGGGCGGTGTTGATGGCTCGGTCGGTGACCTGGGAGCCCAGCGGCCACCACGCCAACCTGCCCGACACCGCCTGCCACGCCACCACCCGCAGCACGCCGTACGTGGCATCCCGCACAGACAGGTCAGCGTAGGCCACCACCACGCGGCCGTCGGCCGCCACCGCCAGCCGCTTGTAGCTGCGGTCGCCCCACTGCGTGACGGCGACATATTCCTGTGGGTGGGGTGGCGGGGAGGTGGCGGGGAGGCGGGCGTGTTTGATGTGCGTGTGTGTGGTCATGTGGTGAGGAGAGTGGCAGACGGGCAGGCAGGCAGGCGAGTGTAGTGGTGTGGTGGGCGAGGAGGAGAGGCAAGAACGGATGCTGACCCACCACCACACCAACCACCACCACCACACACACACACACACACCTGCCCCACCGCGGTCCACGTCGCGCCGTTGACGTCCGCCGTGCGCACCATCACCTTTGCCTGGCTCTCGCTGGCGCCCTCGTCCCAGCCGTACCGCAGGAATGCGGCAAAGGGGACGTCCCCCGAGCCCAGCACCAGCTCGGGGTCGCCGTAGAGCTCCTCCCTCGCCTGCCGCGCCACGCTGGTGCGGTCCCAGCCGCCGCCGGTGCCCACGTATCGCAGGAAGGCGACCTCGGTGTTGGTGGGATCGACGTACAGCAGAAGCAGCGCGCCGGCAGAGGTGAGCTGCAGGGAGATGGAGGGGGCGGCGCCGTAGGCAAGCGTGTCGCCCATGGGCGTCCAGAAGCCTGCAAGACAGGGCAGAGGGCGGGACGGGAAAGATGGGGGAGGGGGAAAGGGGGTGGCTGGACTGATGTGTGCGTGTGTATGTGTTTGTGTGTGTGTGTGTGTGTGTGTGTTATGTCGCGCGGGGAAGGGAGCCCAGCGGGCACGTGCGGCCCAGCGCTCGCATCCAGCAGCACCACCACCACCACCAGGCCCGAGAGCCCACCTGCTTCCAAGGAGTTGAGGATGGCAGCCACGGAGCCGGGCGAGTCGACAGGCGAGTAGCCTGCCGCGCCCTTGAGCGAGCAGCGGCCGTAGGGGCCAAGAGAGAAGGCGCCGCACCCGGCCCGCTCCCGGCACCGGCTGCAGCAGTCTGCGAAGGAGGCGACCCCGGAGAAGACGCCGCTGGTAAGGGTGCCGCCTGACAGCTCGACACCAACCAGGCGGGCGCCGCAGGCGTCGGCGTACGAGGGCTGATCCGAGTCTGCGGCACCACGAGGGGCAGGGCAGGGGCAGGGGCAGGGGCAGGGCGCGATCAGCAAGCACGGCATGCAAACTGAGTTGCGCCGCTCGCGCTGAGCATGCTGCGCTGCGCTGCACAAGGCCAGCAGAGGCCGCGCGGCCTGCGTCTGCAAGCTGGCTCGTGCTTGCCGGCGCAGCCAAGCACCCCAGCACCCCACGATCCGACAGCAGCGCAGCCAGCCAGCTGGCCCCACCCGACAGGCACTGGATGGTGATGTCCTCGCTGTGCTGGCAGTTGGTCTCCCCCCAGGGCCTGTGCGAGCACTCCTCCAGCCGCGTCTCGGTACCCCGGCACACCACATCGTCCAGCCAGATCGTGCCCCGCGCCTCGGACACCGCCTGGGTGTTGGGGGCGGCGATGCCCCAGGTGCCCAGCTGCAGCTGCTGGCACGCCACCGTCGCCTCTGTCTGGCCAAAGCCGTCTGCGGGGGGGGATGGGCAGGGGCAGGAGGAAGGGCGGGGGGCAGCAAGGACGGCTCAGCAGCCAGGCAGGCGCGGCGCCAGCGCCACGGCAGCTCTTCGGGGAGGCGCGCTGCACTGGAGAGGCTGCCGGGGACCAAGGAGGATGCAGCAGTGCAGTATCCCAAGGTCGCAGGCCAGCCTCCATCGTGGCTGGGTGGGACCTGGCCAGCGGCTCACCATCACACACCGTGCCTGTAAGCAGCAGGGGCATGTGGGAAGGGGCGGGCAGGAGTGTCAGGTGTGTGTGTGTGTGTGTCAGGGTGGTGTGGGTTCAGCCACTCCAGTGCCACAGGTGGCAGGCAGCATTCCAGTCAAAGCTTGCTGGCCTGCAGACAAGAGCGGCTCGACTCACCCCACACCCCGTCGTTCAGCACCTCCAGCCGCCCCACCGTGGGGGCCGCGCCGCCCACCAAGCGCAGCGTGGCTGCAGGAAGCGAAGCGTGGGGGGCAGGCAGGCAGTGGGCGGCAGCGGCCCAGCAGCAGCGGCAGCAAGCAAGCAGCGGCAGCAGCAGCCGCAGCAGCAGCAGCAGCCGCAGCGAGCAGCGCCGGCGCCGGCAAGCATGCAGCGGCAGCGGCAGGCACACACAGCAGCAGCGGCAGGCGCCCAGCATCGCGTGCGCCCACCCGAGGTGGCGGCGGCGGTGCAGTTGATGGCCACCGCCCGCTCGCTGGTGCAGCTGACAGCGCCCCAGCCGCGGCTGGGGCATAGCTCCAGGCGAGCCTCGGCCCCCGTGCAGGTCACGCCGTCCAGCCAGACGCGGGCTGGGGGCGTGCCGGTACCGCTGTACGTGCCCCCCGGCAGTACCAGGCCAAACGGGCCCAGCCCCATCTGCTGGCAGGCCACCCCCGCGTCCACGGGCTCGAACCCAGCCTCACACACGCTGCCCCACTCGTCAGCGTGCAGCACCTCGAGGCGCCCCACCCGAGAGCTGGGGCCGCCCCTGAGCCGCACCGTGGCTGCGCCAGCAGCAGGGTTGGGTGGGAGTCGCGTCAGGGGCGGGGACACGGGCACCGAGCAGGCACCGCGGCACCATTGCAGGCAAGGGCATGTGGCGGCTGCCAGCTGGCACTATTGCCTTGGCGCAGGAAGGAGGCGGCGGCGCCGGCGGCAGGCACGCGAGGCGGGCAGCCGCCACTCGCCGGGCGCCGGCAGCGGGCAGGCAGGTGGGCAGGCATGCAGGCAGGCGCTGACCTGGCGCCCTTGGGTTGTCCCCGCAGGTGACTGACACGTCCTCGTTGTGTGTGCAGTCCACCTGTCCCCAGTCGGAGTGAGAGCACAGCTCCAGCCGAGGGTCTGCGCCGTCCCGCACGGATGCGGGGCAGCGCACATCATCCAGCCAGATCTGGCCGGCGCCGGGGCCGAAGAAGGCGCCGGGGCGCACGACGCCGCTGACGTTGCGGCGGTGCAGCAGCTGGCGGCACACGGTGGTGGCCTCTGCGGGGCCGAAGCCGTCGTCGCAGACCGTGCCTGCGCGGACGGGCAGCCGGGGGCAGCAGGGCGGGGGTGTTGTGAGGTGGTGGTGAGGGGCAATGGAAGGCTCACCTGTGCCACCAGGCCATAGGCAAATCTCAGGAATGCTCCCAGGACACTTGCACAAGGGTATGCATACATGGCTCAGTGATGCTGCCACATATGCATGCAGCGGGCCTCACCCCACACCCCCTTGTTGAGCACCTCCAGCCGGCCCGAGGTGGCATTGGTGTTGGTGCCACTGACCAGCCGCACGGTGGCTGCGGGGGCATGGGGCGCGGAGGGAGAGAGGATTGAGCGATGCCCCAGGCCAGGCCAGGCAGAGGATGGCCCAGAGAGTGCCGGCTGATGTTGTGGGAGGAGTGAAGCTGAGGCGGGGCTGGTGGGCAGGGCGCAGCAAGCTGTGCTCTCGGCGCCCCGCGGAGGCGCCAGCGCTGTGCCGCCAGGCTGGCGCCCCGGCAGGCTGCCACCTTACCGACTTGCGGCAGCAGCTCGCGCTCCCCCGTCTCCCCGTAGCACCTCACCCCCACATCCTCCTCGTGGCTGCAGTCGCTGGCGTTCCAGGGGCCGTGGGGGCAGCCCTGCAGCCGTACCTCTGCCCCGGTGCACCGCACGCCGTCCAGCCAGATGGGGCCGGAGCCCGGCCCAAAGGCAGCGCGCCCCACCGCGGTGCCCGAGCTGCCCAGCCCCAGCTGCTGGCACACCACCCCCGCCGCCGCGTCCGTGAAGTCGTCGTCACACACCGTGCCTGCAGGGAGGGCAGCGGCGGCCGGCGCACACGCGACAAGGCGTGGCGGGTAGCGGCGGGACGGTCGGCAAGCGGTCTGTGGAGCGCAGGGCCCTTCATGCTCCCGCATGGCAGGATGCTCCTTGCTCCTTGCACTGTTGCTGATGCTGCATGGTGCGGGCGACGCCCCGTCCCTGGCAGCACCTGCCCTGCCCCGCCCTGCCCTTCCCGGCACTTACCCCACACCCCGTTGCGAAGCACCTCCACCCGCCCAGACCGCAGGTTGTTGTCGCCGTTCACCAGCCGCACCGTGACTGTGGGGCAAAGCGCAGGCGGGGCAGCGAAGCACGCCGGCAGGCCGAGGCTCGGAAGGGCACCGGAAGCCAGGGGGCGGCTGGGAGGTGGTGGGCGGGCAGGCCGGAGCGGAGACGACAGCGCCGGTCGTGCCAGGCAGGGATGGGGCCAGGCAGGTGTGCCCGCCTGCCTCCCCGCGGTCCCTCCCTGCCTCGCTCCCCTCCTTCCCAGCCCACGCCTCTCACCTTCCCCGGGCAGCGCATCGTCGCACTCCACCCCGACATCCTGCGCGTGCGTGCAGTCGTGCCTGCCCCAGCCCTGGCTGGGGCAGAGCTCCAGCGCCGCCTCCTCCCCTGTGCAGCCGACCTCGTCCAGCAGTATGGCGCCCTTTCCCCGCCCGTAGCGCGCGCCCCCCACCGCCGCCCCCGACGTGCCCAGCCCCAGCTGGCGGCACGCCACCGTGGCATCCACACTATCAAACCCGTCCTCGCACACCGTGCCTGCAGGGGCAGCAGGGCCAGACAAAGCTATGATTACATGGGTCGGCAGGCGCCACGGGGAGATGCTGGGGCAGCTGCCGGCCCGAAGCGCAGCGCCCGGGGCAGGCGCTCACCCCAGGCGGCGTTGCGAAGCACCTCCAACCGCCCCGAGCGAGCGTCGGTGCCGTTCACCAGGCGCACGCTGCCTGCACGCGCACGCAGCGTGACAGAGGGTGAGGTGCAGCAGCGGGTGGGCAGTTAGCAGGCAGGCACAGCCAGGCAGGCAGGCAGGCACAGGGAGGCAGGCAGGCAGGCACAGCTAGGCAGGCAGGCAGGCAGGCAGGCAGGAACAGACAGGCAGGCAGGCGGGCGTGGAGGCGGGCACAGCCAGGCAGGAACAGGCGGGCACAGGCAAGCAGCGGCGCACACCCACCCGGCCCTGGCGGCTGGACGACGGGGTCGCCTGAGCGGGGCATCACCTCTGTCGGCCTCACCATCCACTGCGCTCAGCGGCGGCGGCAGCAGCAGCAGCAGCAGGCCGTCGGCAATTCAGGTGCTGTGGCAAGCCCGGGTTGCAAGCCACACCGCCCCCCCTGGCCGCACCGACCGACCTTGGGCATCCCCGATCTGGGGTCAAAAGCGCCCAGCCCCGCAACCTGGGACAGGAGCGCCCTGGGCCGCACCGATCAGCGGCAGCACCAAAAGGTGCAAGGAAGCGCCCAGCCCCGCAGCCTGGCACAGGAGCGCACCCAGGAGCTCGCTCAGGAGCGCGCTCAGGAGCGCACCCCAGAGCGCAGCGCTCACCGCATACATGAAGCAGGTGCCGTAGGTGCCCTCCCCCGTCATCTCCACCAGCGCAAAGCCGTCGTCGCCCCACTCCGAGCCCCGCCCCCACGAGTTCTTGACGATCCTGCGCCGCCGGGCGCGCGGCAGGCGGGCGGCAGAGATTTTCACCCAGCTTGGTGGCAGCCCTGCCGCGCCCGCGCAGCACAGCATTTTATTAAACGAAGCCACCACAGCCGAGCAGCTGGCAGCCGTCCCTGCTCCCCGCCGCCGCCGCCCGGGCCGGGCGGGGCCTCACCAGTAGGGCGGCTGGGCGGTCATGTTGTAGCCGACCACCAGCATGGCGTGGGTGACGCGCGCCTTGGCGGCAGATGGCTTGCCGCTCGGATACGAGTAGTTGCAGCGGGAGGCGGGCCACACGCCGCCGCTGTAGACTTGGAACAGG